AATATAAGGATTTACGTAATTACTGTGTTGCTATGGTTCGACGGGAAAAGAAGGGTTACTTGGAGTTCGTTGCTTCTCAGAAAAATTACAAACAAACCTGGAAAGCTCTTGATACCCTTAATATTCGGTCAAGTAAAAATTATAATTTGCCCTCTGAGTTGGCTGACCCTAATATAATTAACAACTACTGTGCTTCATTTTTACAAAATATATCGAATAAATGTGATGATCAAATAGAGTTTTATAATAATAATAGGATTGATCGTGATATTTCTTTTAAATTTTCCTTTACTACTGTAGATGAGGTTCACTCAATTCTTAATAGTATTAAAACTTGTGCATTTGGTATTGATAATATTTCTTCTACCATGTTGAAGTACTGTAGCCCTTTCATTGATCCCTTTGTTACTCATATTATTAACTGCTGTATTGAGAGACAATACTTTCCTTATATGTGGAAACAGGCGATTGGTTTACCTTTACCTAAAAAGAATAACCCTACTTCTCTTTCCGATCTTAGAATAATCAGTATATTACCGGCTCTTTCAAAAATTTTTGAAAAAATTTTATATAATCAAGTGTACAATTATTTTACGAATAACAGACTTTTGCCTCAATCGCAATGTGGTTTCAGAAGGGGTAGTGGTACTTCGACTGCCCTAGTCACCGTCACTGATGACTTAATAAAGGCTCATGATATGGGTTTGGTTAGCGTTTTGGCTTTATTGGATTTCTCAAAGGCCTTTGATACCATAAATCATAAGCTTTTATGTTCTAAACTAAAGTATTATGCATTTGATAATGATTCACTCACACTAATTAATTCTTATTTACATGGAAGGTCCCAGAGTATACGTGTTGATAATATTTTATCTACCAGTTTAGAAATTCTCTCTGGTGTTCCTCAGGGTTCGATTATGGGTCCCCTGCTTTTCATAATTTATACTGCCAACATATTAGAATCTGTTCGTCAATGCAAACTTCAAGCATATGCCGATGATACTCAATTTTATTTTCATTTAATATTAATGATTTTCGACAGGCAAATGACGTCATCAACTCTGAGTTACAAACTATAAAATTGTTATCGAATGAGCATAATTTAAAATTGAACTCGAGTAAGTCGAAAGTTTTGTTTTTTGGTAGTGAAAGAGATTTGCGAATTTTAAGACGTAATTTTGAGGTTATGATCGATGGTATTCCAGTTCCCAATACTAGCCATGCAAAAAAATTAGGAGTAATTCTTGACCGTAAGTTGCGTTTTGATGAGCATGTTAAATCACTACTACAAAAAGCTTATTTATCTCTTAACGTTGATTTATTGTAGTCGTCACGTTCTTAATAAAAAATTTAAAGTTATGTTATGCGAGTCACTTGTTCTTTCCCATTTCAGTTATTGTGACTACGTATACGGTCCTTGTCTTATTCAACAGGAGAAATACAGGATTCAAAAAGTACAAAATTCATGTTGTCGTCTTTATTAGTGGTCTAAGAAAATATGAGCATATATCTCATTTTATTCGGGAGATCAAGTGGCTCAACATGGAAAATCGTAGGCGTCACCATCTTTGCAATTTTTTCCATAAGATTATTATCACTATTCCTTCTCATCATTCTTTAAAAACTAATTTTTTACGGCGTGGTAATGTTCATTCTAGAAATATTAGATTTAAAAACAAGTTCACGATGCCCACTCATAGAACTGCTTTTTTTCAGAACATGTTTTACATACAACGCTATTACATATTATAACGACGATTTCAAATTATTTAATATTGTAGCACTTTTATCAATTATGCTTATAGGCACTATCACTACTGGGAGTTGGATTAGAAACACTAATTTAATTTTACACCCTCACCGGTTCTCTGTCTGACCAAGACTGGCTCCTTTACCAACGGCCATAGGCCACACAGCCAAACGGTGTTTGCATAACATTTATTTCTGACTCATCTTACATTTCTTATAACATACAATATACTACATCCCTCCTTCAATTACAAAAATTTGAAAATTATAACTAACCTTTAAGTAATCCACACTACAATATTGGGTTTAACCTAGTGCACATACAATAATTACATATTTGTTCATATTCCTGTTTACCACAATTGATTGATTTCTAATCCGCATTTTCCTCACTGTTTTTTTGATTTTCTACTACCTTCCACTCTCCCTCCACCTTTTTTAAGTGAACTATATTTCTTCGAAGTTGTTTACCTGTTTCATCATTTTGGACGTTTACTTCACTGCCATTTTTACTGACAACGGTATGAGGGGCACTATTAAAATTGGAAGTTAGTTTGTTTTCTTTAATCGTATTTTTTATGTATACTTTATCTCCCGTTCCTATTGTACTTTCTTGAGCTTTTCTTTTACTATCACTATATTCCTTCCCGTTTAACTTTATTAATCTCGATCGCTAACTTCTTCATCCAGTATGTTATTTCCAGAGTTGTGTAACGAAGGAATTTTATCCCTAAATTGCCTCCTAAAAAATAACTCTGCTGGAGGCTTTCCAGTTGTTGAGTGTGGAGTGGCATTGTACATAGTTAGGTAATCAAGAACGTCCTCTTTCCAGTCGGTTTTTAATGCCTGGCTAATTTTTAGACGTTTTATTATATCTCTATTTTGCCTCTCTACTTCGCCATTCTGTTGTGGCCAATAGGGAATAGTGTGAAATAATTTAATACCGCATCTTTTGCAGAATTCTTTCATTTCCTCACATTGAAATTGTTTTCCGTTATCTGCTGTCAGTGAACACGGAAATCCCAATCGGGAGAATATTTCTTTAAGGATCTTAATTGTATTAGATGCTGTTATTGTTGTTAATATTTTTATTTCTTTGTAACGGCTGAAATAGTCTATTATAACTAAAAGATAGTGGCCGCTTGGCAATGGTCCTAAAAAATCCATTGCCACGTCGATCCATGCCTCTGTTGGGAGTTCACGCCTTTTCATGGGATTGGGTACATTTGGGGCCGAGACCAGTGTGCAGCCTTTACAGCTTTTAACGAGCTTTTCGGCGTCGTAGTCTATCTTAGGCTACCATACTTTTGTTCGCAGTCGATTTTTTATAGCAACTATTCCAGGGTGGCCTTCATGAGCGGCTTGCAGTACTGTAGGTCTTAGCTTACTTGGAACGACAATTTTGTTTCCTCTTAGCAAGATCTCATCATGAAAGCATAATTCTGGTTTAAATGCATGAAAGTGCTTAATATCATCATCTGATTGATTTGTGGATAGCCATTTGCGAACTTTCATAATTTCAGTGTCAGATTGTGAATGTCTTTTGATTTCTGATAGGGGTGTAGCAATGGGTCGTGAATATTCAACAATTTGTTGAATGTGTTCTTCATCATCAAATGAAACGCTTGGCCCGTTATTAATGCACAGTCGTGAAAGTGAATCCGCTATATTAGTCTTGCCCGGTCGATATATGACTTTAAATTTATATGCTTGTAACCGCAGAACCCATCTTTCAATGCGAGCACATGGTTTCGATTTCTCGCCGAAAATAATCTCTAGTGGCTTATGATCTGTTATAAGTTCAAAATCTAATTTTCCGAAAAGATATATGTGGAAGTGCTCAACGGCCCAAACTAACGCCAAAGCCTCTTTCTCGGTTTGGCAGTACCTTCTTTCACAATCGGATAGGCTTTTATTTCCATATGCTATCACCCGGGGCCCTTCTGAGTCATATTGTATTAATACGGCACCCAATCCGACAGGGCTAGCATCAGCTATGACTTGGGTCCTGTCTTCCGGATCATAATATCCAAGCGTTGCCACGTTAGATAAACAGTCTTTCAATGTGTGGAAAGCCTTGTGTTGCGGCTTTTGCCAATATTTACTTATGTCTTCATTTTTTCCCAATCTATGCCGAAGAATTTGTTTTAAAGGTTCTGTAGTAGTGGCTAAATTAGGAATCCATTTACCTATATAGTTGACTAATCCTAGAAAACTCTGAAGTTCATGAACTGTAGAGGGAGAACGGAAGGCTTTTATGACTGAGATATATTTATCGAGTGGTTTGATGCCTTTTGGAGATAACTCATGCCCCAGAAATTGTATTACAGATATATTATAGATGCATTTGTCTTTGTTTAATAGAACATTGTTTTCTTTTAAGATGTCTAATGTTGTTTTCAATCGCATATTGTGTTCATTTTCTGTTTCACCAAATACTACAATGTCATCTATGAAAACAATGGCACCATTACATGACGAGAGAATTCTCTCCATGATTTTTTGAAACATTTCTGGGGCACAAGAGATGCCAAAATTCAACCGCGTATATCTAAAAAGACCTTTATTTGAAATGAAAGTAGTTATATACCTAGAATTTTCACTGATCTCAATCTGGTGGAATGCGTTCTTTACATCTAGCCGAGAAAATAACTTTGCCTTTCTAAAGTTGGGTATTAATTGATGTATAGTCGGTAAAGGATGATTTTCTCTTATTATTGCCCTATTTGCTCTTCGCATATCGATGCATATTCTAATTTCTCCATTAGGTTTTAACACTGGTACCATTGGCGACACCCATTTTGAAGGACCGTTCACTGGCTCAACTATATCTGAATCAAGCAATTCCTGGATTTTTTCGTTAACTTTCTTTTCCAGTGGAATTGGAATTCGGCGATATGGTTGAACCACCGGCTTTACTGTCTCGTCAATGGGAATATTTATTACGACATTCTTAAATTTAGGAAAAGCAGATAGAGCATTAACATGTACTTTGTTTTCTAGACCGATTCGCAAAACTCTTAATAATTTTGCCGTGTCTTTCCCCAACAAATTTTTCGTGCCATTCTTTATTACATAAAAGGTACCAATTTGCTTGTTGTGGTTGATTGCTATTTCCGCCTTGAAGCTACCTAAAATATCTAAGGGTTTGTCGCTAGCATATGCCATGAAAACTTTGTTGGGCTTTTTAATTTGGTTGAATACAATACATTTCGACTTCTTTAAGTAATTCCAAGTCTCTTCACTTAAAATATTACACTTGCTACCAGAGTCGATCACTAGTTTTACTGGAACTCCTCCAATATTACAAAGTATGTCCTCATCGCTGTCGATATGGAAGATGTAGTTAACCCCTCCGTTGTCATCATCTTGACTACGCCTTCTAACTTTCGGTTTCTTTACTTCTTTAGAAGAGAATTTTCCTTTGAATTTCCTTTTGATACTCTTAGTTCTGCAGTGTTGAGCGGCATGTCCTATAATGCCACATTTTCTACAGGTTATCTCTTTGTCTGGGCAAGAAAAAGATAGATGATTTCTTGAGCCGCAGCGATAACAAGATTTTGACGAGCTGCTGTCCGCCCTGCGATTTTGTGTTGTCACTTTATTTATTTCCACTGAAGGCTTTTTCTCTCCAAAATTTTCCATTTGCCTACCGACAGCTTCAATAGCGTTGGCCTCCGTGATTATTGTGTCCAGTGTTATGGTGTCACCAATGGTCAAAATTTTTTTTCTCAAGTCCGCCGAGTAACATTTCTCCACGATTTGGTCCATAAGGTTTTCCTCCGGGTTACTAAACTTGCACTTTTCAGCCTGGTTTCTCAACCGCACCAAGAACTTTTCCAGCTTTTCCTCTGGTTCTTGCTTTAATAGACGGAATATGTGTCTTTCATATATTTTGCTTTGCTTTGGGGCGAAATAATTGTCCAGTTTTTCTACAGCAATTTTATATACGTCTATATCACCTGGGTTAACCATGGAGACGTGGGCACCGGGCAGATTATAATATATTTCCTGTATACCAAGGCCTCCCATATGCAACAAAGTGGCCCTCTTTTTGGAAGGAATTTCAATGTTGGCTGCTTCCAGATAAATTCCTAGCGCTCTCTTCCATTTTTCCCATTTGATACCGACTGACCCAACATCGCCGTCACAGTCAAACGGTTCTAATGCCACAAGGTTTGACATGATGCCTGAAACAACGTTCATTTTATGATGAAACTCTTGTATGTTTTCCAATCATTACGAATGTAACGTTCCCTCCTGGCAAGTCTCTGGACATGTCATTTGCACTTCCCTATGTTTTCATATTCATAGGTTATTTGTTTGTTGCTATGTATCTCATTCATAGACTCTAATTTAATTTTACTCTCCTATGTTTTCATATTTATAGGTTATTTTGTTTGTTGCTATGTATCGCATTCATAGACTCTAATTTAATTTAATTTTCCTATATTTTCATATTCATAGGCTATTTGTTTGTTACTATGTATCGCATTCATAGATTTGTGTTATTATTATGCTAACACGAGGTCTATGTGCCATGTCCACAGACTTACTGTATTAATTGTTAGAACAGAGGGACGGCAAAGTAAAACTCGAAAATCGAATGCATACATTGCAATAACGGCAAATTCCTATAGTGGCTAATGTTTAAAATTTTAACATAATCAATAACGATCTTTCCTACCTTGCAATCCTCGTCGCCAAAATGTAGCACTATTATCAATTATGCTTATAGGCACTATCACTACTGGGAGTTGGATTAGAAACACTAATTTAATTTTACACCCTCACCGGTTCTCTGTCTGACCAAGACTGGCTCCTTTACCAACGGCCATAGGCCACACAGCCAAACGGTGTTTGCATAACATTTATTTCTGACTCATCTTACATTTCTTATAACATACAATATACTACAATTTGATTCATAATTTTCCAATTCTATACATAGTCTCAAAAACATCACTTGAAAATTATTATGTACATATTTGCACATCTTTGGTTGTATTGCATTGTATTGTAATTAAGAGACAGAGGTATTGCGATCGTTTGAAACGCCATATTAGTTAAATGAAAAGGATCACAGAGGGATCCTATCAGTTGAGCTGCTACTCCACGGTCATATTATAAATTCAAGGACAAACCGCGTGTTAGTAGATATATTGATGACGGAGTGATATCCCCTCGTGACTAATGAAATATGTTTCGTGTTTCCCTTAGAGCTGTTATTTCCAGAATAATAACTAGCACGCACTAGTTGGTTTCATTAGAACTAGGTGGGTGTATACAGGAGGGCTCACTCATCAGGTCAATCGAGAAAGGTGGCGAAGGATTAAACACATCAATAGAATGTATGAGTCAGACGCATTTTATCAAAAATATAGAACAGTATTTCGCCGGCCTTTTTTTGGAAGAATAGAAATACAATAAACAGAATAAATTTTATCAAAGAAGGAGGAATGGAAACAGACGTTTAAGGACGGGATTTTGTACAAAAAATATCGCCCAGCGTGAGTCACGAAACGGTACCCCGGCAGGTGTTTTTCTAGCGGCCAACGCTTCAAGTCTAATAATTTACGCTGCACCGATATTCGCCCGATTTTTCAGGAACGGCTCCAATTTGTGTACATACAATCTTATAAGGAAAGAGAGTAAAGATTTTATTAATCAGTAATAGATTATCGAGGACAATAATATTTTTTTATTAAGTAGGCAATAATTTTTAGTTAATAAGCTTAAACAATCTTATAATTACTATTCCTTCATTATAAAAGCAGAAATACGATTTTTAAAATTACATGTAGTTTCTTCTTCAAAAGTGACCTTAAAACACGTATAACATGGAATAGTCAACAGTCTAATGTTTATATTTTCACATTAACAATCCGATAATGTAAATTAACTGCTATTTTCAGTAAAAAAAATATATACCTAACCTGAAATATTTTTTTACTTTGACGAGTCGTTTTAACTTAAAAACACTGCTTAATTACTAAAATATATAGAATCTTGCTACTAATTGCGTTTGGAGAATAATATGTATAGGCATAAAATATATATA